CTGCAACTTTTTGACGCCCGTCGGAACATTCCGGAGGACAGTGAGCACAATGGTTTGCATAAGTCTCTTACGCTAAAGATTACACAACGCTTACGTAAAAGCCGTGAGGTTTGGTGGTTAGAAAGCGAGATGGAAGCAGCGGCTGCATCCGGTAATAGTAGGCAGCTGTTCTAGCTCGTGCCAGCCACTGACGGCAAGAAGTTTGGTGTCAGTGAGACGGTCTGTGAGGTAGATGGTACGACGATAAACAATCTTCAAAAACGCCTAGAACACTAGGAGTACTTCGAAAAGCAATTTAGCTGTCCCACTGCTCCAGCATTCTCAGCTTCAGTGTACCTTGCTCCATGGTTAGTTAACACTGACCTACCTAGAGAAGAAGAGGCCCAAAAGGAACTCTAAGTTCTGAAACGCCACAAAGCACGCGGTTCACATACCTTACCCCGGATTTTTAATGGTGAAGGAACGACTCTAGTCAGGGAACTGACTAGATTGTTTGAGAAGGTACGTCAAACTGAGTGTTCTACCACTAGGATAAGGCCACCATTGTGCCCATCTTTAAGAAAGGTCAACATAATGAATGTGACAATTATCGGGGTATATGTGTTATCAGTCGCGTCGAAAATATTGGCTGCTATCATACTCTAGACTTTTCAAAACGTGTGAGAAAATGATTCGCGAAGAGTAGGCTGGGTTTCGTTAAGGTTGTGGATGCATTGATCACGTGTTTACCCTCTACCAGATGCTTGAACATCGATAGACGCATTGCAGGTCAAAAATCGTTGTGTTTCGTGACATTGGGGCTGCCTTCGATTCGTTGGACAGAATAATACTTTGGAATTGTCTATTAGAGAGGGGTGTACGTGATAAAATTATTAAGATCCTGAAAGCCCTATATAATAACATCTCAGGCAGAGTGAGGGCATACAACCACCTGCATCAATTGTTCCAAACCAGCAGTGGAGTTAGCCAGGGTTGCTTGATTTCTTTATTCCTCTTTAACTTTGCCATCGGTGACATTCTTGAGATAATTCTGAAGTAGGTGCTTGATGGTGGTGTAGACCTACTACCCGAAGAACAGCTATTCGATCTTGAATATGCGAACGATATCGTCTTAATGTGCGATAACACACAGGTTGCTCAGACAGTACTTAGTAAAGTGGCGGTTAGTGTCGGTAAATGTGGTACGTGCATCGTACCATTGAAGTGTAAAGTACTTTAGTAGGACTGGGAGGAGCCTGTGCCTGCGCTCACCCTTGATGGTGAGCCATTGGAAGTAGTCTGAAAGTTAGTGTATCTGGGTAGCTATATGAGTACTGGTGGAGGTTGGTGATGAAATTTCTAACTGCATATCGAAAGCCAGAGTGGCATATGCCAATCTCGGCCACCTTTGATGCCATCGTGACGTTAGTCTGACCGCGAAAGGTCAGGTCTACAACTTTTCGGTGCGAGTAGTTCTGTTCTACGCCTATGAAACTTGGCCACTCTGAGCTGAGGATGTGTGACGACTCTGTGTTCTATCATCGTTGTCTCCGTAGGATTGTTTGTATCCGGTGGCAACACCATATCAGTAACTCTGAGGTGCGACAGCGTGTGTGTAGGCATGATGGAGATCGTCATTCAACAAGTGAAGTCATCTGGTGGCTTGGACATGTGTTACGTATATCGTCCCAACGGCTTCCATACCACTCATTGTTTGCTAGCCCTGGGACTGGAGAGTTGATCAGTGTATAACGCATGATGAAGAATAGTTGCATCGGATTAGCATCTGTGGGTACATCACGACTCCCTGGGTGAGGTCCGAGAGATTACGCAACTCAGTGGCTTGAGACGTAATCAGATATGGGTCAGAATAAAAACCAGTTGCGGTCATGCTGTAGCTTTCCTCTATCTTCTGCTGCTAAAAAGTGGTGAATGTTTTGTTTTAAATATATCTTACTAAACTACCCTTCTAATCACTCTATTCTTGTTATTTCATCAACCTCCCTTCGCTTTATGCCTTCATAATGTTATATTATTTTGTGTGGTGCATTTCTTGGTGCCTTTGCAGTGCCATGTTTGTTCTAATAAGTAAAATAAATGTGCTGCAAGTATGCCTGCTTCAAAACCTGATCAAGTGTGGATATCTGATCGACGCACTATAATCCAGGTCCGAAACCTGCCTGGTTTTCTTGAGTTTCGGTTACACAACCGATCTCAGACGCGTTAGTCAAACTGATCCCACTACGGTTGTCACAAGGGAACTCTCTTTTCCCACTGACGCGAACGATCAATGAAGTAGACTGATTTTTACGAAACTACTTTTGATCTCCAAACACTACTTAGTGCCCCCAATACTCTACCGAACAATTTACTTTCACGATTCAAAACTTTGGGCGACAAACCGTAGGCCCTGCTGTTTTGCATCGTTTTAGGTTCAAAACAGCCTTCTCAACTTAGAGAACAGTTGGAGGACTGACATTGACGTCCCATTCAGGTTCCGGATGGATGCTAGGCAGCTGAAGCGTTGCTATGGGCCAGTCTAACTGCGCTTCAGTGTTCTGCACAACATTCTAGCTACTTTTCCTCAGAGTTTATCAGGGACCCATCCTTTCCGGTGATAATCCCATTGGCAATCATCCTTTTCCCAATTATCCTAGATCAGCTTACATAATTGTCGGGCATTACCTAATGGCGATGGCTTTCCTATCTCTTTTGCTCTCGCCAACATTAGCATAATCAAAGTTAAGGAGAATTCTGGTAATATACTTGCCTCAGTCAGTTAGCATCGACATACGAACTAAAACTGCTGCGTTAGGATCAAAGTTGTCACACGTTTTATCAGTATATCAAGGAAGCAGGCACAAACATGAAAGAGAGAAGTACAGAAAAAACAATCAATTGGTGGCAGACGTGGAAAAGAAATTAAAGAATAATGAAATCCAGTGTGAAGATTAAGTTGAAGACAGTGTGCGGATGTAGTTGCGCAATAGATCGGGTTCTAGTCACATAAACCAAAAATTCCTGAAGTATCAATTTAAGCTGCATTGAAGGGTATAACCGAGAAGTTCATATATATCTACTCGAATGAAACAAACCTTCGGAGACTTAATTGCCTGGTGCTGTTTCATTACCACAGTCTATCAACCAGTGCAATCCCACTTCTGATATTAGCTATCGAGAAAGAATCACCTCAGCACACAGTACCTCAGCAAACGAAGGATCAGAACATTATCAACTAACCGATCTTTGTCACTCAATACCCTACACCTAACCACCTCATCACGCCTTATGCAACTGAGCTAACCACCGTTACAAACCTGCCATTTCATATCCTCTACCTTTGGTAGTCATGTCCTGCGGCCATGCAGTACGTAACAGTGAACTGAAGTGCAGAACATCTGGCTCTCAGTAGGCGAATCGGTATCTCGCATTGTCACAAACCACATAAATTGAAAGAAAACGATCGAGGCTCTTATATCCACGTGGAGATTTCGTCGACCACTGACCAATCAGAGTTGGCCCGACTTCCTAATCAAGTGAAGTAGCCAACGCGCTCAACCATTTCACTCCCTACTGCCAGACGAGTCTCTAAAAATGACCAGTCTTGTAGAAACACTTTGAATTCAGGTGGTACAAGGCGTATCCCCAAAGTTGTCCCAAGCTGCAGCTCAAGTTACCTAGAGAACTGCACCTTGTTAGCATCTACTGAGTACTCTAGGTGTAATAAGGAGTCTCCTGTAACAAGGCTAATCTCGGTAAAGTCAGACGAGGAGGGAACCTCCATAAGCACGCTTTTGACTAGGTTAAACAAGAATGAAAAAACTGGGAACCCTTGATGGGCACCACTCGACGTGTGCTACCCACCCAACCTCTCACCGTAGACTAAGGCGCCCACGTGTTCAAATATAGGGCCTTCAACGGAGTGACGTACTTACCCGGTATTCCTTTCAATGAGAGACCACTTTGAAACCTCTCTGAACCGAATGCCACCTTCAAGATGAGATATTTAGATAATGTTGGGTGCCGGTGAATGAACTTGTGTTCCAAAATCTGGTAGACGACTTACGTCTGACCAACACATGCATACCCAGGTTCAAAACTCTGTGTGCTTTTATCAGATTTACGGTTCCCAAGCACCTGACAATGGCCGCATTTCGTACACGAAGGTGAAATTTGACTCGTAGAGAGGTTTCATAGTGGTCTCTCATTAAAAGGAATACCGGGTAAGTACGTCACTCCGTTGAAGGCTCTATATTCTAACACGTGGGCCTCTTAAAGTCTATGGTGAGGTTGGATGGGTCGCACACGTCGAGTGACACAGTCATGTGAGTAGAAGATACTAAAAAGGTGCAGTTCTCTAGGTAACTTGAGTTGTAGCTTGGGACAGGCCTTGTACCATCTGAATTCAAAGTGTTTCTACAAGACTGGTCAGTTTTAGAGACTCGTCTGGCAGTAGGGATTGAAGTGGTTGAGCGCGTTGGCTACTTCACTTGATTGCGAAATCGGGCTAGCTCTGGTTAGCTTATGATTAGTAAAATCACGCTGATGCAAAACCTTGATTAACGTCTCTCAACTTTTGTAGTAACTGCTAGCACTCATTGCTACGAAGAAAAGTTGACAAGATCACTCTTGGAGTACAACTACAATCTTATTGATCAGATCTTCAGGAGCACCTATGTAGACTTCGGAATATTTATGTATGGACTTTAAATGTTTTTAATCCCTCAATCATGAAATAACGTCCTTGTATGTGAAGTACTCAAGACGTAACAAGCAGCTCTCGTAACAAACTGTGTCTAAATGAATTATACCCCAAATTGTCATCTTTACTACTTGGTGATGACTCCCCTAGCCAGAAATTCAAATTATTATTCGGTCTCCATAGTTGCTAACAATAATACATCTGGCTTTCCAAGAAAAAAACTATTTACGTGGACTCGGTGATAATAACATCTTGTAATATAAAGAGGAATAAATGTCCTTTAAATTATATGGACAATGACCAGTGAAAACACGCTTACTCGACAAAAACTCATCCAAAACCCAACATTATCAAAATTACAAATAAAGCGGTCGATGAAGGTGAACCTTGACCTACTTAAACGATAAACGTAGACATCCATTAAGCTGGGAATTGCCTATCTCTTAATTCACCGAAGTGGTGAAGCATTACAGAGAAGCCCAAAACAAGTGTACCACTTCTATCTGCCTGTCCCCATTAGGCTTGGAAACACGTCTTGTCCAGGCTGCATTGCAACATCCGAAGAGATTATTTTCCTATATGAACCATAGAAGTAAAATGTGTCATGGTGTACCCACTCTAATCAGTGGGGCCGAAGCTGACCGTTTGGTTGAAGGTGATAGGGAAAAGCAGAAGCCATGGATGGATATTTTGCTGCCTTCACACATGAATCTTCTGTGGACAGTTGAGGCATTGACATCCAACAGAATAAACTCTGGGGATGTTGATAGCGATGGTGTATTTCGGATATTAATTAACCTCGACGAGGAGAAATCGACGAGACCGGATGATCTGCACCCAAGGCTGCTCAGACAGCTTGTACTCTATGTAGTCGGTTCATTGGCTACCATATTCAGACTCTCAGTGAAGGCACACTCCCGTAAGACTGCAAGGATGCCATAATAACACCTACCCACAAGGTAGGTTCTAGAAAGCCCCCATCAAATTGCAGACCTTTAGGTTTGACTAGTGCTGTAGTGAAAACCGTAGAAAGAGTAATCAAGAAAGCCATCATAGTCCACCTAGAGAGCATCACTTTATTGTCTCGCTAACAGCATGGTCTTCGTAGAAATTTCTCTTACTTGACGGACCTCCTTACGGTCAGAGAAAGTTGGGTTAAGTCTAAAGATGATGGGATACCTGTAGATGTCATTTGCATAGACTTTGGTAGGGCGTTCGGCAAAGTACCTCATTCCAGGTTGCTTGGGAAACTGGAAAGTTTTGGAATCACGGGCATTCTGCTCACATGGATAAGGGACGTTCTTGTTGGTTGTAGACAAGGAGTTAGGATCAGTTCTCAACTCTCCTTCTGGAAGTTGTTAGAGAGTGGAGTGCCTCAAGTCACAGTCCTGGGCCCCCTGCTGTTTCTCCTATACGTAAATGAACTGCCAAGCATCTTGAAACCCCAGATGGTTTTCCACGCTGGTGATTTAGAAACCTGGTGGGAAAATGGGAAGGATGAGGATATGCGTGCACTCCAGACGGACCTAAACAGGTAGTCAACCTGGTGGGAGGAGTGGCTGGTGTCCATCAGTGCAGGTAAATGTGTGAGCATGCACTTGGGGCACACACTCAGCAACACCTACGATATTGATTGATGGGACTCCTTTGCATCAGTACTGACCCACAATAACCTGGAAGTCACAGTGGGTTATGATTTGAAAACCACGGCACGCCGTGGGTCGGTAGCATGCATTGTTAGTTATGTCTAAATTCGAAAACTGTACATAGGCGGCTAATCTTTATCTGGAAGGTGGTGCAGACCTTCTAGAAACAGTTCAAAGTGTGGCCACTCATTTGATCACTGCGATGGCTGGCCTCACCCATGAAGATAAGTTTAAAAAGCTGAATCTTTTCACCTTGTCCTGTCGCGGATAGAGGGGATTAATCATGTTGTACAGGATTTTGAGAAACGACTTCAGACCTGATCTATCTTCTCTTTTCCTTTCCACTAGATCGGAACACCTCGGAGGATATAGTAGGAGACTACAAAAGCAAAGAACGAACAGTCTCCACAGAGAACTGGTTCTCGCGTCGAATAATCAACACCTAAAACCGACTACCAGAAGAAGTGGTGTCCACATCATCAACCGACTCGTTCGAAAGGGGATTGTATGAGCCCAGAAATATACTGGAAAAGGGTTAATATAGGCTCCCAGCCTCTCATCCTCAGATAACAAATCTGAAATCTGAATCTGAAGACAGAACGAATTTTTTTGGCCTTGAAAGTCTAAACGTGACATAAGCATCCATAATTATTTTTGAGTTATGTCATTTTCAGGGAGTGTGTGATTTTAGTAGGATCTACTCACCTTTGCTAATTTATTGCTGAACTGATTGGTCAGTGATTTTTGATTGCGATGACACTTTAGGAAGTATTAGGAGTATTTTATATGGACAAAGTATGCCAAAGTTTCCTACTGGAAATAATGTGGCTGCACACACTTCCATGGAATCAATGACCTGGGGTTTGACGAGGTTCAACATTGATGCTGACCTTGATGGTTTAACTGGACTCGCTAAGCTGAAGGCACCCGATCAACCATCCTCGCCATTTGGCACGCAGTCGTGTTACGTTGCACTGACCGTGTTCGACCATCTAGCCAGCAAGTAGGAGCGAATTAGTACTTAGGCACTGCCCCTCAAATATACTATTCCATCCGACTACGCTACTGTGTTCTTTCTTGGTTTTGTATTTGTGGGTGTGTTACGAGTACGAGCAATTTGTGATTGACCTCTGGATCCGTCAAGTTCGCACCAGGGCAATTCCTAAAGACATATGTCAGGACTCATTTGTTCTCGAAGTTCAATATGCCATATTCTCTTACAGATTTCTCCGCCCACTATTGCTTCTGACATTGTTGTTTAATGATATCGCCGTTATCGATGTTTTGACAAGCAGCGCTCCAGAAGGCTTCGGATAGCACGAAGATATGATTCCTACGAAATTTTTACAGCATCAATAGGGAGGGAAATAAGATCTAGATCTTGTCTATAAAACTGGCATGTGTTCGCATAGTTCATCATCCAAAGCATTATTATTATTACTGTCCAAAAGCCACAACATTAACTTAACGAGTAGAATGACTGTAGCCTTAGCTCCTACATTAAACTTTTCCAAAAGGATTGCCGAAGGAGATTTCAGTTTGCCTGAAATTGGTTGGGAACCGAGCATTGCTTCACCTTAATCCAGAGGATGGGCACAGAAAGTCCTGAAGCCCATCTGATATAGTAACACTTTGGACCCCTTATTAACTTCACCTGGTTAACTAGTTCACTAGTTACCAGCCGGTCCTGTGCCCCTATAAAGAGGGAAGGTTGGGCGTAGGGATAGCAACCCTACCCCGCAAAACCAAACCAATCGCTGAAGAAACTTCAAAGCACAAAGAAAATGTTCAAGACAAAAACAAACTTATTCCTGGCTGGAATCGCGGAGGCCAAATGATGCCTGTTGGTTAGAGCCCTCAGGAAGCCAACTGGTCTATGTGTCTTCGCTTCTCTCGATGAAGGCGAAAGAAGGAATGGGGGCACGGAATGTCCTAACGATGTTTGCAGCTGGCTGGCAGGGTTATCCAGACTGCAAAAAAAGTGAGAAGATATGGCATGGAGGTGCTTGGAATCCGTGAAAGAAGATGGAATGGAAGTGGACTCTCCGAACTGTCAACTGGAGAATCAAAATCCACTCCGATATTGTCACCCAGACGACAACCACGAACACACTAAGTTTCGAAGTGGCTATCACGATGTCCCCTCAAAGACCATCGAAGGCTGTCTCGCACACAGTGCGAACAAATCTCCTCCTGCAGGATCAAGATCATGATAGAGAGAGGGATTTAACTGAAAAGGAAGGAAGGTCACAATCACACAATGCTACACTACGCACCTACAAATGATGCAGATCAAGGGAAGAGGGAGGAATTCTATAGAAAGCTGCAATCAGTACATGATAAGACTCCAGTCGGCGAGATCGAAATTCCAATGGGCGACATGAATGCCAAACTGGGGCGGACAACACAGGAAGAGAACTTATTATGGGTTGAGAAGCACTGGGTGAAATGATGAGTGAGAATGAAGGACAGCTTGGAGGCTGGTGATTGGAAGCATTATGTACAAGCACAAGGACACTCACAAAGCGAAATGGATTTCACCAGATACTAGGACACATTAACAATCAGATCGACTTCATCTCAATCTCAAGAAAGTGGAGACGCAGTCTGCTGGACACGAGATCAAGAAGAGGGGCAGATGTAGGCACAGACCACTTTCTAGTGCAAGGAACCTTCCAAATCAAGTTGTAAGCCTTCAAAGAAGTTGGTGATAGACCACAGTTCAAGTTGAACACCCAGAAACTGAAGGACAAAACTACAAAAGAACATCTTTATGCCAACCACCAGAACAAAGTGGGAGACATTGAGTAATGTCCCTGGAGGATCGGGTGTGGAAAAACACTGGAACACTTTGAAAGCTATGTGGAAAGAAACCTGCATAACCGTAATGGCAAGGGAGAGGAAACAAGACAAGGAGTGCATCTCGATGGACACATGGTAGCTAGTGGGCGAGAGGAAGATGGTGAAGCAGAAGATTAACGAGCTCAGTGCAAGGATTTAGAAAGAAAAGAAGAACTGAGTACAATGTGTAAAACATTGGACAAAGAAAAGAAGGGCGCGCCTAAAGACAAAAGACACTTCTATGACACATCGGCAAGCGAAGCAGAACAGGCTGCAGGTAGGAGAGGCCTGATAATACTATATCAAATAACCAGGTTACTGTCAGGGAAGTGATCAACGTAGACGAAACCAATGAAAGATAGTGAGGGAAAGCTATTTTTAAAGAGGAGAAACAAAAGAAACAATGGACTGACCACTTCAAAACTCTTGAACCTATCACCGTCACCGCTTGCAACTCGTCCAGAAATACCTCCAGACCATCCGACGAAAGCCCAAGTCCTGAAGGCCATAAGACTGCTGAGATGCAGGAAAGCAGCAGGACAAGATGGGATTCTGCTACGAGCGCCGAAAACAGGCGCCTGTTGGTTGGAAGAAGGAGTACCTTGTCAAACTCCCAAAGAAGGGAAACCTAGGCCTCTGCAAGAACTGGAGAGGAATCATGCTGCTGTCCACCCCAAGCAAAACATTAAGCTGCATCATGCTGGAGAGACTAAAAGACGCTCTGGATTCAAAATTATGACCGGAAAAGGAAGAACAATTCGTGTGTGGATGAAATTGCAATGCTACATGTCATCATGGAACAGAGTATAGAATGACAGTCAACTCTCTACCGCAACTTCATCGACTTTGAAAAGACCTTCGACAGCGTCGACCGAGAAGTAAT